TCCCCGCTTTGCTTCAAAAAGCATCACACACATCGTTAATGAAACATTGTTAAAATTGGATCCAGTAGAATTAAGAGAAAATTCTAGACAGCAGAGTTGTATCTGTGATGTAGCATACTGGGATTAGAAGCCTGACTGCTGAAATAAGATCTTGACTACTGGAACCGAACATCTCGAAAAGCATTTTTTTTTTAACTTAAAATAAGGAAATTTTGTGGGTTTCTCTAATCTCCTTCCCTACACCTGCCTAAATCTGTTCTGGGGTTTCTCTTAACCCTCTGGAACAGATTTGGGGAGGATGTGTGCAGAGCGACGTGAGGGGGAAAGTTAAGGTAGTTGGATATTGCCCATGCTGCCTAACCAGTTTTCTGATGACAGGTCTTCACAGTCCCTTAACGTACATTTCCGAGCCCAATTCAAAGTGTTGGTGCTGACATTTAAAGCCCTAAATGGCCTCGGCCCAGTATACCCGAAGGAGCATCTCCACCCCCATCATTCAGCCCAGACACCGAGGTCCAGCTCTGAGGGCCTTCTGGGAGTTCCCTCACTGTGAGACGTAAGGTTACAGGGAACCAGGCAGAGGGTGTTCTTGGTAGTGGTGCCCGCCTTGTGGAATGCCCTCCCATCAGAAGTCATGGAAATAAACAAGTATCTGAGTTTTAGAAGACATCTGAAGGCAGCCCTGTTTAGGGAAGTTTTTAATGTTTGATGTTTTATCACTTTTTATTATTAATATTCTTTTGGGAGCCGCCCAGAGTGGCTGGTAAAACCCAGCCGGATTGGCGGGGTATGAATGAATGAATGAATGAATGACCATGTGTTGTGAAATGTGCCTGCTCTGCCCTCATGTATCAAGCCCAGTCAAATGCAATGGGTAGGCCTTAGTCACGTAAGCACACCTAGTTGACAGGCAGGTGTAAAGGAAATTCTCTCAAATGTTTGCTCTTCTAGAACAAAGCTCTTGTGGGGGGGAAACCCCAAACCAACCCAATACTTTTGCCGTCTGACAGACATGTTTACACAAATTAATGTCAAGGATAGATTCCAACTTCAGAATAACCAAATTGGAACACACTGGGGCATTTAGTGTGCCAAATGAAACTAAATTGGACAACTTTCTGCTGCACAGTAGCAACTCACAGAGCACCAAAAAGCTCACACCCAAAGGGAAAGGGAAATGTTTTGCCTGTATACAGCCATGGGCAGAATGTCCAGCTTCTCTAGGTGGGAAACTATGCTGCAAATGAGACTGGCTATGGGCAAAAGGAAAGGTTCTGCCCAGTCTCTGCAGCCTTAGCCGGAAATGCAAATAGAAAAACAGGATGCTTGCTGAAGGATTTAATGTGCATGATATGTCCATACATAGTAAGGGGTCATTGTTGAAGGAGAATGCTGGTAAAGGTGAGGGTTTCATTACAGCACATTTTCTTCTGACTTTCACAGCATGCATTAAGAAAAAAAAATGTGTGTAGGTTGTACTCCCTGTAAGCTTCCTTTCCTTAGTCTCAGTGTTGCCCTTATAGTACTCAGAAGGGAAGAAGATGGAGAGTAAAGTAGAATTAGTTGTCTCTGCCTGTTGCTCTCTCTGGCTTGACCTCTTCTTGGTCTTTCTGCCTTCCAAACTACCAGTTCCAAGGAGCACCAGACATCCCTGGTCTTTCTTTTCTTTTCTTTTCTTTTCTTTTCTTTTCTTTTCTTTTCTTTTCTTTTCTTTTCTTTTCTTTTTCTTTCTTTCTTTCTTTCTTTCTTTCTTTCTTTCTTTCTTTCTTTCTCTTCTTCTCCTTCTTTTAGTTTAACAAAATTCATTTATTGCTTGATTGTAGGGGGGAAAACACCCTCTCTAAGCAGGTTACAAGAATATATAAAACAAAGCATTAAATTTTTTGATAAAAACAGTTAAAAACAAGTATATTTGGAAGATGATCCAAATCAACAATTGCTAAAAAGAATAAAGCACATGTAGCTTCTATATGTCTATTGGCTAGAGCGTGGTGCTGATAATGCCCTTCCAACTCTACAATTCTGTGTTTCTATGAAAACATTCAAATTGTTGATAAAAACAGGGCCTTACACACCTCTTATAGCCAGGCATTCCTGGGTGGCTGCTAGCCCAGAGAATGCTCAGCCTTGTCTGCCATCAGTCATTCCTTGCCAAGGGATCACCCCAAGAAGTCAGACTTGCCCCACATTTGACATTAGACCCCTGTGGGGCCTCAGTAGGCCTGTAGACCAGAGCTTCTCCATTGCTGAATTATAGCTTTGAATATCCAATCATAGGGACAAATGACAGAGAAAGGCATCAGCTTCGCTGAGTTCTTGTGAGCGCCTCAGGTGCACTTGCTGCAAACAAATTAGATGGAGTCTGCTCTGCTCCATCAAGACCATTCTTGGAGTTTGCAGGCTCTGAGGAAGAGCATTTTGAGGCCATGTGTGTGTGTTCTAAATATTCACTGAAAAATGAAATGCAAGCCATAAAGTATTTAAAGATGAAGCTCTATTTTGAAGGGTAGCTTTGAAATGCGGGAATGCAAACATCGGGCAAATGATATAGCAAGAAATGTGACAGGGTTATTCAAAGACTGCAGTGCCTAATTCTTTTTTAGCGGTGACAAAACAATGTGCCTCTTTTGCATAACTTAATCCACAGCAAATCATTTAAGCATGGGCATGTTTTTGGAATAAGTACTTCTACATGGCTGTGGAACTACATACAGCACAAGCAGTTAAAAGCCGCAGTGAATCATTTTCTCATGGAAAAAGAATTATCTGCATGAGGTTACTATTGGATTCACACGTCATTTTATAGCCAAGGCTAATAGACATTTAGATTATTTTAAGAAAACTACAGAGGATTAACATATACAATAGCCTCATTCATCAGCGAGGAAGTCTATTTCTGTTCAGGTGTTTAAAGAAATGCAACAGAATTTACAAAGAAGCCAACACTTGGAAGATTTATCCCTACCACAGTACTTAGTTTATTTAAAGTGACACACGTATCCCAATTTATGCTTTATCTGTTAAATTGCCATGTGCGTCTAGAAATATCCCACCACAAGAACACAGCCCTTATAAAAATTCCAACATATGCAGACCTCCTGGCTCTGTGATTCTGGAACAAATGGTTTATAGTCAGAGTATGTGTTACTAGGGCAGCCACCTCCCAGCCAGCCCCACACTTCTATTCCAAGTGCTTTAAGGCTGAGAGGAACAGATTAAACATTTCTGTCCCTTCTGGAAGACTGTGGTGGTCTCATAAACGCCTTATGTGGTGTTTACCCCAGATGCTAGGCCAGCCAGGCAGGTAATGAACAGACACTGCAGACTTTTAACAGGTACTCCAAGCCTTCTAAGCAGGATGTCAATATGACAACATCAGTGTAGATGATGCATTACCTATTACAAGAGGACAGGTTCCTACCTTAAGAGGATAACAATCTAAAACTTGGCACAGGGGAGTGGCACAGAAGGAGGATAGGGCTAGAGGTAGGAGTAAGAAGGGGAAGCTTACACACGTATTTCATTTTCCTGTGCTTAGAGTTGGTTACTGTAGGGAGCGGGGCAGAGTTGGGGAACCTGTGATCCTCCACATGTGGATGGAATTCAGCTTTCATCAACCCCAACCAGTATGGACAATGGTCAAAGGTAATGGGGACTGTACTCCAGAAGACTACAGTCCTGGTGTAGGGACTAGGGTCGGAGGGGAGATTTGTTCACTTAACATTTTAAAGTGATCCATTGTAATTTGCAGTTCCTGGATTTATATGTAAATCAGAACATGGTTACCAATTGATTGTGAACTTCTCTGAATTTTGTAGTGCACATGAAGCACATAAAAATGCATATTTCATGGGGGAAATGCATATAAAATGTGTATTTTACAGAAAGCATATGCAAAAATGTGTATATTTTAAATACCAATTCCCATGTTTCAAAAAGCACCCCCTGAGAATGGAATGAGATGGTTTTATGATTGAAATAGAATGAAAATAAGCTTATCTATCAATCCCCAGTAGGGTTTAAGAGGTTTTGCTGGTAAAGAGTTCATGAAAATGATGAGTTTTGAAGAAAGTAAGAGTTTTGGCACCATAAAGGTATTCTGAGGGGCAGTTCTTGATGTAAGGGATATTAAAGATAGGGGAAATTTGATAAGATCTTTCGGTGGCTTTGAATGAAGGAGCTGGAGAAGAAATGGTCATGAGAACAGAAATGTCATGATATGAGTTGCCAACTGGTCAAAAATATCCTGTCTTTATATCCTTCTGTGGTAGATGATCTCTGGTCTTAAATTTTTTAAATATGGTTTTTATGATATGGTTTTAGGTATGATTGTTGAAAATTGCTCTGATTTTTTTAAAGGAATAGTGGTATATAAATACTTTCATAAATAAATAAGTGGTCAAAAAAATGCAGAACTTGCCAGGCAAAGATGGTTGTGTCATGGAGGTAACATCACATGGTAACACAGAATTTTTATGTGGAAACGATGAAAATACTTTGTAATTGTATAATTGTTGTGCCTATTTGATCAGATTTGGGCTGAAGGTATGTGAGTGTAACAATTATGCCATGTTTTATCCAGTTTCTGCTATTTCTAATTAGCCATGTTATTGTCAGCACAATCTGTGGTGTTACATTTATGCAAGCTTTGAACAGCAGCAGCAATATAGGCGATAAATAGAGTCAAGGCACAAAATAAAATTAAAGCTATGTCTGCAGTTGAATACACGGTGCACATGCCCTTCAGTTGATTCAGTTTTACAAGGATTCCATTAACTTATATTCTCCAAGAGCAGTTTATTGAAATTTCCATTTTGGCTCTGCTCTGGAGATTTCGTTCATCTGTTACAGCAATCTCATTCTCCAGCTTCAGATGTGGAAGCCACAAATCCCACACAACTCTCCCAATGGCCTTTGTGGGATTTCATTTCATAGCTTGACAAAAGCTGGTTTGACAATAGCCTTCATATGCAAAGCACAATTGAAATTTACAATAATTCACTGCTGGGTTTGATCCAAAGCCCAGAGCAAGTCAAAGTGCAGTTTTTCGGTTGACTTCCCTGGATTTTGGATCATGCCCATTTGTGATTTAAAAGTCTTGCTTCCTTAAGTTTACATCACACATGATTTTCATTCAGCTGAGTGCTATTGCAAAATATTCCCATTAGTACAATTTTCATGTAGGGAAAAAAATATACACCTGCTTCTGCTCAAGTCAGACAGGAGTATGCCAAGCCACCCCTAGATTCACAATGTATTTCTTTTCGATTTGATGTCTATATCCTTGGAACATTCCAAATTTTTTCCTTCACATGAATGGTTTGTGGGAACAGCCCTATGTAAGAAAGTCATATTGTTGGAAGCAGCTCTCTGAAAAAAAATATTTTGAAGATCCAGTATACCAGGGTTTGTCATTTTTGGAAAATACTATTCTCTGAAAGGGCTATGTGTATTTTGCCCCCAACGTCTGTGATTACTATACTAAGCTGTAACCACTGAATTCAGTAATTAAGCTGGATGTTGATAGTTAAACTGCCCTCTAAACAAACATGTGTGATTTATATAACTCATTTTAGGTGACAATATAACAGAATATAGTATTAGTTTTTCTGTTGAAGTGCCCATAACTCAGTGACCATAACTCAAAGGAACTAAATACTGGGGGGAGGAATTCAAAATGATTATTCAGCAAAATAATACATTGTTCAAAGGTACAATAATCTTGGGCTGTGTTTAATACAAAACTGTGTGTATGTGAATTTTCTGCACTATTTCAATTCCAGAGACACTTTTCAACCAATGAAAGTCCCACAGTGTGCTCACAGAAGGGTTTCTTTTATACAAAGATATGACTTTGCTTGGCTTCAACATCTCAATGTGTTTAATGCGTAAGGTTCTAAAAAACTCCTTCCCAAAGTAAAGTTACAGGAGCAAAAAGGAGACTGGTAATAGACCCTCATTTGCTGCCTCTTCTATGATGAAATAAATACTCTTGTATCAACTTTGAGCCTCCAGGCACTTCTAAAACTAGGACCATCTGTTCACATTTTGCTGAGATGCCAGTTAGGCTTAACAAGTTATATCTGCAATGCATGGGAAATTGGTTTTTTTTAATATATAAAGGTAGGTCTGTGTGAATTAAACCTGGGTTTCAAATGGTATTTGGAGTTGGAGGGTTTATGTTTATCTCACTCTTCATTTTCCTTTATGCCTATGTTTTGACCTACTGGTTTCTAAACTTGGCTGTTGCAACACCATGCAGATCAAGCCTGGAAATACCTCATTTAAAATTTACAAAGAAGCTGCTGTTTTCATCCAGCTCCTGCTGTAAGGATTTTCCTCTTTGTTTGTTCGCTTGCTAGGAATTTTTTTAAAAAGACGTCAAATACTTTAGGATATACTGGCACCAAAATCTGAATGCTAAAATGATTCCAAAACCCAGCAGCAGGTATTTAACGGTGAGTTCAGTCTTCATTTGGGGATTATTACACTACTTCTCAGCAAAAAGCTCAACCATCATTTTTTGTGTGTAGTTGCTCTGCCCAGAGATAGAACATTGTATTATTTCCTTATGCTACCATGGTGTAATCAAATAACTCAAAAGCTGCAATATGTTTCTATCTCTCAAAATTATACCATGAAACTGGGGTAACTACAGTCGTACCTTGGTTCTCAAACTTAATCCGTTCCGGGAGTCTATTCGACTCCTGAAACTGTTCAAAAACCAAGGTGCAGCTTCTGATTGGCTGCAAGAGCTTCCTGCACTCAAGCGGAAGCTGCGTTGGATATTCGGCTTCCAAAAAATGTTTAAAAACCGGAACCAGGGCCAGATGTAGGTTTGATGAGGCCCTAAGCTACTGAAGGTAATGGGGCCCTTTAAATGTCCCGCTGTCCTTTGTCAACAACAAATTGTCACTGTTTTTTGTGTTGAATATAGGCTATATGGTAATTTGGGGACCTAAAAGGTATCTAAAGCAATTTGCACGTAATAAATAGGAGCCGACACAACACAAAACACTGTTGCTGTGTGTCGGTTTTATTTTATTTGTTTTTTTATCTTATATTTTGGAAATGTACATCCAGTTTTTTTCTTCATTTAAATTTTTTTGGGAGCCCCGAGGGAGTGGGGCCCTAAGCTATAGCTTGTTTAGCTTCTACGTAAATCTGGCACTGACCAGAACACTTACTTCTGGGTTTGCGGCGTTCTTGAGCCGATTTGTTCAGCAACTAAGCCTTTCAGGAACCAAGGTTTGACTGAGTCTAACCACCCACCTACCCTGAAAACTTAAGACTGTAATCTTATCCTGACTTTTCTATTGCTAGTCTTGAGAGCAGCTGAATAGCCTTCACCAATGACAACAAAACCCTTATGTATGATTTCCCCCCACAAAATGACAGACTGTATATTTTACTTGAGAATAATAGCTAATAAATGTTTAAATAAGTTTGAACTGGAGGCACTAGAGCCCCAAACATATTTTTATTTTTTAAAATGACTGTTAAATTTGTCAATGCCTGCATTCCCAAATCAGTTGCTCTATTCTGTTTTTCATATCAGATATTCATGGTGACCCCAAAAGGTATATCTGCAGAACTAACAGTTGCCTATAATCACATCTGTGTGTGCTAAAAGAAAAGTTATGTATGATTGTCATGTGAACATTATTTCATTACTGGTGATATTCAGAATGGCAAATGATGGTTTAGAAAAAGGCACATCCAAATCTTAATATGTAAACACACCCCAAAGCCATTTTGAAAAGGGATAGTGGATGCAGATCACAGGCAAAGATCCCCAATTCTGAATTATGAAGATTTTATTCCAGCAGTTTTCCATTCTGTTGCTCCAAGAACACACTTTGGATTAATATTAACAGGAATTCTGATTTCGATTTCAAACTAAACACCAGGCTTTATTTATATAAAACTTAAAAGATGGGATCTGGACAGGAGTGAGCATGTGTTTTTCTAAATGTGAATACTGCATTTGATTATACATGGAAGTGTGGAACAAGAGGCTTAATGCCAAGGAAAATATGTAAACTGTTTTGTGGATCCAGTTAACTTTAGGCCCATGCTTGGCTAGGCAATATTTATATATGTAGGTTGTAAAGGTGGCTGCTACTTGCCAAGAGTTGAGCGTATTCTCTTTGTCCTACCCAAATGAGACAAAGTCTAGTTGGGATATTGACTTATGCTTCATATGGTCAGCTTTCCCCCACCCCAAAACAGTGTATATTATAACTTGATGAATGTGCTGCAAGCAGGTGGTTGGAAGACCCCTTTGCTTTGCCTTTCACAAGTCTTCATTCTCTGAAAAAAATGACCCTTTCACTCCAGGGCTATGAGCCATATCTGAGGTAATGTTCACAATTTATTCATGGCTTCCAATAGCTCTCAAACCTAGGACCCTCAAACAAGACAGATTAAGGCCAGAATGCAGTCTATATGTTTTACATTAAGGGGATAAGAATGTTGCTTTGATAGTGGAACTAGCTTGGCATAGCAAGGTTGCTGTGACCTTGAATGAGACTTGATCACAGCTAATGCTTTGGTAAGGTGGGGGTTTTTTTTGGGGGGGGAGGGGAGGTAGGGCAAAAAAGCTTCCTGAAATTTGTATTAATCTTTAGTCAGCAGTCAGATTTTTAAGACTTTTCAGGAAATGGAGATCTTACCTTAAAACGTAAGATGAGCAGTGCCAGATTTATACACAAGCCATGTAAGCTACGAAAAAGAATTTCAAATTTTACTCAAGTACATAAGAATACACAGTTTTGGGTAAATGCTTTAGGGCCAGTTGACTATGACATCTTTCAGGCACTCTGCATGTCTTAATCCAGCCCTGAAAATGAATATAATATTTTTATCGAAAAAAAGAAAGAAAGAATCTTGTCATCACTTCAACCCCTTCAAGTCCACATGGGAGCAGTCATGTTCACTCTCTGAAGAATACTCCTGAGAACAGCACTTATTTCTCTTGCTTAAGGTAACCTAGCAAGGTCATGGTTTATGTAAAATTTGAAGGACACAATAGAAATCAGCACAAACGAGTAGAGGAAGCAATAGTATCTCAACAGATGATTGAATGAAAATAGGTTATTATGCAAAAAGTTGCAGCCAGCAGCAACATCCATACGAACAGAGATTCAGAACAGGTGCTGTTAACAATATCACTTATATAAATGCTATACTGCAGAAATATAAGATTGAATAATCTGATATATTGTGATATATATATTGTAATCACTTTAATATTGCTATAAAGTGCAAGTCTTAAAATTAATAATCATTGGAAATAACAATGGCAGCATTAATATTGACTATTATTTTTCACTGCATTCCTAAAATTATGCCAAATAAAAACATTCAGGAGGGGAACAAGCAGAAGCAGTTTGCGCAAGGTATTTAAGTTATAAAGCATGAACCAGAGATTTCTGGAACTGCATCAGACATCCTGCTACATCCAGTCCAAATGAAACAAAAGTAAATTGTCCCAGTCCAAAAATCTGCTGCCCTGAAAATGGGTGTTACAGGATGGGGCTGAAATGCCAACAGCTGTAACTGTGTGACTTCCTGTTCTATTACATTATACTGCTGTCGTAGCACTACAGATAGTTTGCTCAAAAACGTTGACTATTGAGGTGCCAGGCATTCTACGGATATCAGAAATCTAGAGGACACTGTTCTCGGCTAGAATAGGAAGACATTCCTTCCCTACTCATTTCGTTCATTTTGTTGCTATTTGCATTCTGAAAACACAGTGCATGATAGGTACTAATAGTGCATAATAGTGCATTCCTGGGCATGTCTGCTCTAAAGTAAGTTCCACAAAGTTCAATGAAACTCTATCCCAGGTAAGTGGGTACAGACTTGCAGCCTGTTTGCTGTGTGCTGTACACATGTACACCTGCACACAATTTGCCACATGATAGCCTTCCTGAACCTGCTCATGTCCTCCAACTGCCCTGATTTTAGCAGGACATTCTGGATTCACAGAACCATTCCCAGCTTCCATTTCAATCCAGGAATGTGCTGCTGCTTTCCACCCCCAATCACCACCACCGAGCTTGGGGAGGAGGATGAGTC